TTTAAAAGAAAATTTATGATCACAGAGAAGTTTACCAGCATCACCTATTGATACATCAAATTGTGAGATTTATTACTTCAAGCTGCTGTGACTAAGCTGCATTCAAAGCCCTTCTCATTCGGCCTTAAAATTGAGCAGAACCTCTAATCTTGATCCTATCACGTTTTTTCTGCTTATCCTCTATTACACTTCAACTTAAAATCAAATGTTATTGCTGATACTCTTCAGCACCAGTAAGAACAGAGAAAAAAAAAAAAAACAGGAATGACTTTTAATTACACAGGACAGCCATCAAAACCTGAAAACCATTTGATAACTCGATACTTGTTTCTCATTGACATGAATCATCACACCATGGCATGCAAATGATGCGAACATGCCACGTGAGCTCATCATCTCAGAAAACAAACATCACCATTGTTAGCATTCAGACAAACAGTCCCTCCCCTCTCAATCCGGTTTTGTTGTCATTGTCATCAGTCCTACAGAAGATTACTGTGCTCAAAGCTGTGCAGATCTTATTTTCATGAATATAAACTAGTGCTCTGAGATGTCATAGGACGATTCACCTCACACGTTTTTTCAGTCACATCCTTCAGTCACAACCTACAACAGCCACGCAAATGCAGAGCAAATACATAGTGTCTATGTAAGAACTACAATGAACTTGCTTAACTATATACCCAAGCTACAAAGAGACCCAACTTCTTCAGCAGCTCGAGGATCTTATTGCCGTGATCTTATTGGCATGATGGAGACATGGTGGGATGGCTCCTAGGATTGGAGTGTTGGAATGGAAGGATGCAGGCTCTTCAGGAAGGACAGGCAGGGGTGTCACTCTCTATGTCAGTGACCAGCTGGAGTGCATGGAGCTCCACCTGGGGATGGATGAGGAGCGGAATGTTTATGGGTCAAGATTAAAGGGAGAGCAAGGACAGGTGATGTTGAAGTAGGGGTCTGCTACAGGCCACCTGACCAAGAAGACTGAGCAGATGAGGTCCTCTATAGACAGATAGGAGCAGCCTCACATTCACAAACCCTGGTCACCATGGGGGACCTCAACCACCCGGAAATCTATTGGAGTGACAACACAGCAGGGCATAAGCAATCCAGGAGGTTCCTGGAATGCGGTGATGATAACTTCCTTCTCTAAGTGATAGAGGAGCCAACAAGGAGAGGTGCCATGCTGGGTCCTGTTCTCACCAACAAGGTGGGGCTGGTGGGGAATGTGAAGCTCAAGGGCAGCCTTGGCTGCAGTGACCATGAGATGGTGGAATTCAAGATCCTTAGTGCAGTGAGGAGAGCGCATAGTAAGCTTGAGACCATCTACAGACCCTGAAGGTACACAAGTCCATGGGACCTGATGAGATTCATCCGTGGGTCCTGAGGGAACTGGCAGATGAAGTTGCTAAGCCACTATCCATCATATCTGAGAAGCCATGGCAGTCCGGTGAAGTTCCCACTGACTGGAAAAGGCGAAAAAAGTTAGACATGGGAAACTACAGGCCAGCCAGTCTCACCTCTGTGACTGGCAAGATCATGAAGCAGATCCTCCTGGAAACTATTCTAAGGCACATGGAAAATAAGGAGGTGATCAATGACAGCCAACATGGCTTCACTAAGGGCAAATCGTGCCTGCTGAATTGGGTGGCCTTCTACGACAGCGTTACAGCACCGGTGGATAAGGGAAGAACAACTGACATCTTTTACCTGGACTTGCGCAAAGCATTTGACACCGTCCCGCACAACATCCTTGTCTCTAAATTGGAGAGACACAAATTTGATGGATGGACCACTCAGTGAATAAGGTATTGGCTGGATGGCCGCACTCAAAGACTTGAGGTCAACAGCTCAATGTCCAAGTGGCTCCCAGTGACAAGTGGCATTCCTCAGGGGTTGGTACTGGGACCGGTGCTGTTTAAAATCTTTGTTGGCCACATGAACAGTGGGATTGAGTGCACCCTCAGCAAGTTTGCCAATGACACCAAGCTGTGTGGTGCAGTCGACATGCTGGAGGGAAGGGATGCATCCAGAGGGACCTGGACAGGCTTGAGAGGTGGGCCCATGCAAACCTCATGAAGTTCAACAAGGCCAAGTGCAAGGTTCTGCATGTGGGTCAGGGCAATTCCAAGCACAAAATACAGGCTAGGCAGAGAATGGATTGAGAGCAGCCCTGAGGATGACTTGGGGGTGTTGGCTGATGAGAAGCTCAACATGAGCTGGCAATGCACACTCACAGCCCAGACGACCAACAGCATCCTGGGCTGTATATCAAGAGAAGCACGGCCAGTAGGTCGAGGGAGGTGATTCTGCACCTCTACTCTGCTGTCATGAGACCCCACCTGGAGTACTGCATCCAGCTCTGGAGCTCCCAACATAAGAAGGACGTGGACCTGCTGAAGCAGGTCCTCCTGCTGGAGGAGGGCCACAAAGATGATCAGAGGACTGGAGGACCTCTCCTATGAAGACAGGCTGAGAAAGCTGGGGTTGTTCAGCCTGGAGAAGAGAAGGCTCTGGGGAGACCTTCTAGCAGCCTTCCCGTACCTAAAGGGGGCCTACAGGAAAGATGGGGAGGGAGTCTTTATCAGGGAGTGTAGCAGTAGGGTGAGGGGTAATGATTTTAAACTGAAAGAGGGTAGATTAGGTTGGATATTAGGAAGAAACTCTTTACGGTGAGGGTGGTGAGATACTGCAACAAGTTGCCCGGGGAAGCTGTGGATGCCCCATCCCTGGAACTGTTTAAGGCCAGGCTGGATGGGGCTTTGAGCAACCTGGTCTAGTGGGAGGTGTCCCTGCCCATGGCAGGGGGGTTGGAACTAGATGATCTTTAATGTCCCTTCCGACTCTAACCATTCTATAATCCTACTATTACTTAATAGTCAACTTCTGTTTGGCCCATGGAGAAATCATCACCAGACCATTCAGCACAGCCTGGGCATAAGGTAGGAGTCAACAGGGCCACTCCAGTTCTAGGCCTTCATGGTCCCAAGCAACTCTGAACCCCTCCCCTTCGTCTGCCTTTTCAGTCTACCTCTGGGGATGTAAATGACAGTACCCAGTTTGGTGGGTAGCAGGGATGTTTGAAGTTATATTTGGCTTCTATAAATACCAGTCTCTAGGTTTTTCCACTTTTAATGATATGACTTTGGTATTTTGACATCCATCTTTCTTAAAAGAACGGTCAAAACTACACAGGAAAATAAAAACTTGTCTAGTCATAATTCAAAGAGTAGAAGTAATTGTTTGGTGCCTCACTGCACTGGACAGGTCAAAACTTAGACACAAGGAGTTGGAAATGCAAAGAAGTCTGCTAAAATCAAACAGGAAGAGAGCTGCACAGACACCAAAGAAGCACCAAACTATGAAGTTTAACAAACCATTGGAAGTACTTCAAAGTCACAGGAAAGGGTCATTTCTCAGAGGCTGAGAAAAACGCAAACAGTCAAGAGGGAGTTATACTGTGTGCACTATAAGGTTCACTCCCCATTTTAGTTGTTATGGCAAGCAATTCACTAATGCTGATTTTGTTATAACTACCACTTATGAAACCCTCCCACAAATAAAAATTTATGATGCTTTTACGAGGCTTAAATAAAAGCTCTGAGAGCAAATGCAAGGGTTTCTTTCACTGTCTTCTCTCCATGAGTTGTTCAAACATTTTAAACTGTTAAGTTAAACAGAGATTGATTGGGGGTCTGTGAACAAATCTAAGTGTCCAGGCTTCCTCTGAGGTTCACCTTCCTTTTTGGGAAGGACAAGAGGTTAAACAACCCATGCTTTTATTAAGCTAAACAAAGCCACTATACCGTTTGATGTGAAACAGGAATGCATTTATAGTCATTTAAACAATGATTAGGATGAAAGTTTCCTCCAAAAGTCTTAAAGCTCCAAGTACGCTGGCCAACGACTACTAAACCACTAACCTGACAGAGAAAGAACAATATTTTGCCATCTTCTCCTTAGTGGTTATCAGGATGGAACTCGGACAGGTGGGGAGAAGAGAGAAGATAATTCTGCCCATTTTCTGTAACTCCAACAAAAACATGGGAAAATCTCCTGGGATCATTTTCTCAAGGGAGTTGGCAACTATGGCTCTTTATGTCACCACATTTAAACCCAGAGATAAACCCAGAGAACTCTGGTATACCTGGCTAAAAATACTCTTGCACACGCCAAGCACATGTATTTGTGATTCAACAACAGTGTAAATTATTTATGTCAGGAAGTTAGTCCCAGTGTTTTCTTCCTCCATTTACCTTCCTGCTTTTGATCCTCTGCAGCCATCTCCTTAATTACCAATAAAACCATTATTTCTCTTGCTTCTGTTTCCCTTAACTAAGTTAAAAACTGCCATGAAATGCTGAGAAGTTTCTCAAATCTCTAATGGGAAAATACCTATGCAGCAGCACTAGGCTACCTAATTATGCGTTTTCAAGAAACAATACTTCTATAGGAGGGCATATTGTTTGAAATGTAGATTATGAGAATACAGTCATTTCTCCACTGTTTGTCACTACTGTATCCCAGCTCCAGGAGGCTGCATGTACTCTGCTACTGAGTACCCAACAGGTGTTCATTCCTGATACTCTGGTATCTCAGGAAAGGGTTCTTCTAGAAATACCAGAGTGACCACCTTCCTCCTCTTTTATTGATTTAAACTTGCAATTTATAAAGTATCATCACTGAAAAGCAAAACAAAAATCAGCACGGACGTCCTCTCTTCCCCCTGAAACACAGGCTGATCAACATAAAAGCTTCCCAAAAAAGCATGCGAACTCTCTGATCTCCTTCCTGTGATAGCGAAGCTCGCTTACACTGCTGCTGATGTTCAGTGTTAACCACAATATTTCTCTATGGGACAGTTTTGCATAACTTCTTGTGGTGGGCAGACCTGGAGATTCCTTATCCTTGGTTTGCAGTTCTCGTATGTGTCAGGTACTCCAGAACACCAAATCCCACGTTACCTCAAATTTCCAAGGTTAAAATATATCATTACTCACCTTTTTCCCCTCTGTACTATCACCACTGACATAAGACAGTTTTCGACGGACATAGAAGAGCATATCGTCTTGCCGTGGGGCCCATTTCTCCATAAAATACGTTGAAAACATCCAAGTCCAGAACACAATACGGTCATCTTTGAAACACCCTAAAAGGCATAAAAGGAAGGAGAAATAAGAGTTGTGGGATTAGCATGTCACATTTAATTGCACTTAACATGACACCTGCAGTCTTTGCTACATATGGTGCAGTTAAGCCCAAAGGTAACAGAAATGCTCTTGCACGGCTCAGATTAAGTTTTTCTACAGTGTACAGCACAGCCACCATTCGGCACAAACCCACAGCCCATCTTTGGCCATCATCAACCAAAACAGCCTTCTGGCAACCAATCTGCCCCTGTGCACAAACACAGGTCAGGGCCCATGAGTATACCCTGGCTATGCACGTGCCATGGAGGACAGGACCAGCGTACTGAGCGAGAATACACTAAAGAAGCACTCAAGGAGTAATTTCAAAAGGCATGTAGTGCCAACATATGCTCTAGTTAATGACATGATGCCATCAGCTGCCAATAGGTTTATTATATGCTCTCAGGGAGTAGAGCCAGTCCTTCAGAAACAAGCAGCTGATACCTTCCTTAAATCAATACACAAGAACAAAATCATACCCGCACAGGAGTAACTGTAATTCACCCTCTGACAAGGAACAAAACACAGCTCTTCCTCAAGGAAACAAGGAGTTTTGAAGTCCTGAATCCCAATTAAACATGAAAAAGCAAGGGAGGAAGGGGAAAAAACAGAAGAGGAAGGTGCAACAAAATCTTGTTCAAGGAGACAAATTACATCAGCAATAGCATGGCAGTTGGCTTCTCACCAGGAAAAGGAGGCACAGTAGAAGTGACATCACATCTTGTGAAACTCCTCAAAGCACTTAACTGTAATAAAACAGCAAAAGGTGCTGCATCTCTTTGGTGTGGTAATGCCTGCAGACTTGACCGTAATTTACACAGACAAGGAGCAAAGCTACTACTGTGCCTGGTGACAAGGGAGCGGAATTTCTCCTCTGCTCCTCAGTCCTACTGGAGGCCCCTTGATGAAGTAATTGCATCCCTTCCCTGAAGCCCTACTAAAAGATAACTGCAGCTGTTAGCTAGAGCCTAGCTGTTTTAAAATCCATGGGAGAAAAAAAAAAAAAACCCACTAAAAAAAATTCTATTGCTGAGAAACACCAAAAACCTGAAATGGATGATGGATGGATGTACAAGACATCAAGTCAGGTGAGGGTGTGTTTATGCACACAGGTGCAGCTGACAACCCATCCTCCAGAACATGTATCCTTTACAGTGGCTTATTTCCCTAAAAGGTATAGATTGGCTCCCAGATTGGTACACACATTGCTCCCCAGCCCTCAGCTACCATTCAAGTTATTGTATTTCCCTCTCAGCAGTACGCTGGATGTATGAAATAGTTCTACAGACAGAAAAACCTTGAATGAGACAGAAGTGACATTTATTTACAACAATACCTGGATTAAGCTTTAGAAGATTTTCCAGTCAATTGCCAAGAAAGCTGACATACACCATAACAATGAACATGATTTTTCTTAGGCACTGGTGGCTAACTTCAGAGCTTCATAAAGCAATCAATCAATCTTTTAATCCACAAGTGTAACTCAGCACATTTTCCTACTTCATTGTGTGTGCAATATTTGCAAAAGAAATCTTTCTTCCAATCTTTAATTACTGTGGTGGGCAGGAGATTAGACTTTCAAATTTTTTAGCAGACAAATGAGTGATTGAAATCGAAATCTTAGGTCTCTCCAACTAAATCCAAAATTAACATTGAAAACAAAATTAAATTCCACTGATGGACCGTGCACAGAATACCTTAATCAACATTAAGTATGATGGTATTGAAAATATGTATATAGTTGATAAAAAAAAAAAAAGAAAAAAGAGAAAAGCCTGAGAGAGAACAGAAAAAGGCCAAGGCAGTTAGTTCCCAGTGCAGGTTAATTCCAGGCCACGCTGCAATTGCTTTATTTGCATGGCTGCAGTGAAGTCATTTCAATTACTCAAGGCAGCATAGAACATAATGTGCAATCGTGAATAAAATCTGCAATGCACTGAAGTACTATCCAGTTTTTCCAGCAGAGAAAGGGAATCAAGCACTGGAGATATTAGATACGGGATGCAGGGCATCTGCATCCCTCCCTTGGGCACAGGTGAACAGGACCATATGACAAACAGCTATATCTGAGAGCTTACCACATAAGAGTGGATTCAAATGTGTTGAGACTACCAAAACCAGGCTGAGAAAGGACAGGATTTACAGATAAACACTGAGAAGAGAAAAAGGTTTAAGGATATACTGCTGACACAAGGACAAATGGCTCTAAACTACGCACCAACACATATGTAGGCTGGAAATTTGAAGCAGATTCCTAAGCATTCAAGCCATGAAGTACTGGAGCAGCCCCCTCCGCTGAAACAGTGAAGGAAATAATCTCAACAGCTGTAAAGATAGAGCTCAACTTGGTTGAGAAGGTTCATGTGTTACCAGTGACAGCTGAGGACACCATGACCCATTCCCACCTCTATATTTAGCAAAGAATAGAAAACAGGGCACACGTTCATCTTGATTCATGGTCTCAAAGAAACTTATTAAGTCTCATGGGTTTTGATTACCTGAATTCCCAGCCTTAATTAAATGGAGAGGGGGGACAAAAGGGGAAAAAAGAGGATTGTCCTGAGTTCATCTGGAGTTTTAGGAAAAATCAAAGGAAAAAGAAAAAAGAATCTACATTCTGTAAGAATCATCTCTGAAAAAGTTTTAGTGTTCAGAAGCACACTGCTTCGGCTTTGCTTCATAAATGAGTAAACAAAATAGCCCTAGGCAAGCCACTGCTAAATTTATATCGGAACATTTTCCTATCGGGGGAAATATTTTTCCCTTATAAAGCAAAAATCATCGTTATCTAAACCCAGCATTATAAATGAGGGTTAAACAACTTCTAAATTTTGGCAGTACCTGCAAAAATCTGAGAAGCTGTCATACGAGCTGCTTACATCATCAGATACGTTTTACACAATAAAGCAGAGAAGTTAATATGCTCTTCTCAACGATTTATGGGTGGTAATAACAGAGCATTAATACATACATTAGAGAGGCAGAACAGGGTAAGGTACCAGGACTTAGTGTGTGCTTTTGCCCATGCTGGGGAATGCAGGACAAACTGATTCAATGTATTCAACGTCAGTCTAAACAGAAAACCAGGGGACAGAAGTGCTGTGACAGTGAAGCTTCTGCAGCACTGCAGCATAATGCAGAGGAAAAGAGGCCCTGGAAACCCTTATAGCTCTGTTGGATGGCCGTCAATTCAAAACCCTACCTGCAACAGATTAGATGTAAAATCGTCTTCCAAGCTTCAGGGATACTTGCAGACATTTCTGTAATTAAAACCAGAGTGAGGATGTTCAAACCGTTCTGACTGCAGTGGCTAAAGGACATTTCTTGAAGCCAAAAAGAGCCAAATCACTGTAACACAGCTGTTTTTATTAAATTTTAGTAGAAGCAGGAAGGATGGGGAACAGCACGCAGAAGAATTAGCCTTTAAAATGTACGATTAAATACCATTAACTTGGAAAGGAGACAAGAAAATCTGTCATTGTAATCCAGACTTCTTAAAACTCAAGAGGGGGAAAAATCTATTCCAATTTCAAGCCAGAAACTGTCACATCCAATACGTCCGGTCAAGCTTGCCTTCAACTATTACATCCCCAAAAGCATGGCATACCCTTACAGTTATTTTGGCGGTTTACAGCATCTCACTGGAAGCCTTCCAGCTTTGCCAAGATGGAACTTGGAAACTGCTTTTAAAATTGTTTTGGGGGATGGTTCTGAAACTGTCAGGCTAACAGCCCAGCAGACAAAATTATTCTTTTCAACAGACAGAAGAAAGCACAAAGCCTTAATTTCTCAGCCTCTGCCACAGCACCCTGTTGCGGGGCCTCAGCTGCACTGGAGATGGTAGAGCTCAGAGAGCAGATCTGTCCCCATTACATGCCACTCACAAAAGAACCGGACAGACTCAGCTCGCAATTGGATTGCTGATGACCTTAACCCTCTGCTACTATACTCGATACTGCTTCTATCCATCTGGCAAGGACCGAGATTAAAAACAAGCCAATTTTTCATAAGCCAGACAATAATGAGCTGGCAGCAGCGTTCTATCACGTTGGTCCATCACTGTTTGCACAACACTCAGAAGACGTGCATGCATGCATATACACTACCCTTAAGTTGGAAGGCACTTAATAAAACACCTGGCAATTAAAAGCTCATGAAGCTTTGACTTAAATATTTGGGGAGACCTTTTAAAACACCAACAGTTTTATTTTTGCCAGAGGAGAATTCGAGCCTTCTGCAACACCAGAATTAGATGGTATTTGCAAAGGAATCAAATTCCATCTATAGTTGAGAGCATGTAGCAAGACAGCTTCCTGAAAACACTCCTCCCCTAGCAAATTCTGCTTCTAAACGAAAAAAATGGAACTAAGAGTTCAGACTCTAAATCTTAATACACTAAAAGTTGATTATATAATTATGAGACCTTTGTCATGAATAAATCCTAATTACAACAATTTACTGTAATGATTCATTTACATGGATTTTATCCTCATTAGAGGCAAGATTTATGCCAGCTGCTATGTAATAAATGTCTTTCTTTTTACCTATTAGATTTTTATATTAAGCATTCATTTCGGGGAACTGACTCCAGAGCCACATAAGAAGTTGTGATTTTTTTTTTTTTTAATTAATGCTTTCCAAAAAATCAGTGGATAAAGAGAAGTGTCAGCATATTATTTTGCTTCAAAGGAATAGAAGAAAAGATTTCCCATTTGGTGGATAATCAGTTTTTCAGCATGTACCACTCAGAGCTTAGAGCACAGTAATTTCAGCTAGACAGGGTTTCTTCCTATGCTTTTATTCCTCTTGCCTGCCATGAGCTACTCTTAACTGTGAAACATCATAAAACTCATTTCATCCAGTTCTGCCACAGCGCTGTCATCTGCAAAATGAGCATCCTTAGATGGTTAGGGGTTAATTAAATGCCTATGAAGATTTTTACAGCCCCAGCATGGAAAGCAAACTAGAGTTCTAAGTGATTCACACTATATTTATCTTTTGTTTTGAGTTTAGCCAAGTATTCTGCAAGGACAACGTGAGAAGTGCTTCACATAGATTAAAGCTACCTTTGATATTATGAAGTTATAATTATGACTGCACAAAATCAGAATGGATGTTCCCTGTCCAGTGAAAGTCGCCATCTAGCCAGTCATTAGAAATTTAAAGTTCAGTCTTCTTCCAACGCCTACATAAAAGGGCATAATTTAAACCCTTCAGTTTGACCTTATACAAACACAGGACTCCACCAAACTGATGTCAGAGGTTCGCTGGCAACCAATTCAAGAGCAGGCAACACAAGAGGGAACGCATCACCAAATGAGAGGCCCCCAGAGCACATCCTTGCAGCACATTCCTGTCATAAATACTGGGGCTGGGAAAGGAGCACTACCACTGATGCCAGCTGTAGTGACATAGCACAGTGAGAAGTGTGCTTTTGCAAGCACGCAAGTCCTAAATCTGTCAGAAAAAAACAACGTATACTTTCAACATAAGTTTTTCTGGCAGAACTCTAGCTAGAAAAGGAAGGCATCATGGTATCAGCAGTGACAGGGACAAAACAGATGCCACAGATTAAACGTCCTACTCTGCCACAGACACAACCCTCCTTTTTTCACAGAATCACAGAATGGTCAGGGTTGGAAGGGACCTCTGGAGATCATCTAGTCCAACCTCCCCGCCAGAGCAGGGTCACCTACAAAAGCTTGCCCAGGATGGCATCCAGGTGGGTTTTGAATGTCTCCAGAGTCAGAGACTCTACCACCTCTCTGGGCAGCCTGTTCCAGTGCTCTGCCACTCTCTAAGTAAAGAAGTTCCTCCCTATGTTAAGATGGAACTTCCTATGTTGAAATTTGTGCCCGTTACCTCTTGTCCGATCACTGGGCACCCCTGAAAAAAGACTGTTCCCATTCCCCTGGCACCCTCCCTTTAAGTATTTATAAGCGTTGATAAGATCCCCTCTCAGTTGTCTTTTCTCCAGACTAGAAAGACCCAAGTCCCTCACCCTAAAATAGCTGTTCCCCTACCCCATCATGTGTTGCACGCACACATCCATTAACATAATATGAAGAGGATAAGCAGAATATAATTCAAGATGAGAGAATAATTTTTACAACAAATACATCACACACTTCTTTACTAACAGACAGCAATTAACAAGGAGGATGGATGGAAGCTCATTTGAAGTTGAATGAAGGATAGTCTAAACCAAATAGAAATGTTGCTGCTCTTTCATTTCTTTCTGTGGACATTTTAAGAAGACAACCTCTATCATGCTTTCAAACTTGCATGCACATATTAGGCTTTTTTAAAGCAAAATAATTGATTTAAACTTCGGCTTCATAGCATATCTATAAGGGAACTGACAAAATTTGAGCTTTAAGCGTTGAGTCATCAATGTTAAAAGGCTATGAAAAACATTAGGCCAATTACTCTTACAGCTGCTGTTCCATATTTATTCATTTGCCAATAGATGATATCACCTCTCTCATATTTATCACCTTCTCGAAGCACAACTAAATGGTAGGTATCACTAAGATCCGCAGAATCAATATGCAGTTCCACTACACATCTTAAATTTAAAGCCTGTTCTCACCAGATAATTGACTCAAATGCCCAAAATTACGTAAGCCAGAAGTTGCCACTTGGATCAAAGACAAATGTGGTCCTCTGTGTGAAGAGGGAAAGATAAACCCATTTCTACGTTTAGGAATAGACTACGAAGTCTTCCATGAAGGCCTGTGAACAATTCCATGAAATAGTAGGTCCAAAACACTTGAGATTCAGAGAAACCGAGCTCGTTTTCAACTGATGACTTTCATTTCCTGAAACACAGAAATGACTCAGAGCTGACTAAATTGTGCTTAAGCCTTATGCTGAACTAAACAATAGAGGATAAAATGTAATTCTGTTCTAAAGACCACAGTTTACCCTACCCAGTAATAATTTCCCTCCTATACCCCAGAGCTTTAACTTTGAAATTCTATGTGAAAGTCAAGCCACAGTTGTAGCAATGCAACTTCATGGTCCATACTTGTAAAGTACATGTCAATCACATCACATACCTATCCTCTACTTGCAAAGAGATAGAATTATATCACTGTGGAAAAAAAAAAAAAAAAAAAAAAAGAAGGAAAATGCCACAATGTAAAAACTTTTGATTCTGAAGAACAAAGTATAACCTTGAAGTATATTGGACATTCACTACTGATGGCTCTCCACTGTCCCATACTCCTCCTGACCCCTCAGACTGTCTCCTAACTCTAATACAATTCATTTTCATTCATACCATTAGATACAGGCTGTGGCTAGATTCTGAAGCTTTCTCTTTTATCTGCAGAGGCTACACAATCAGGGTCAAGACTAATATGTCAAGGGACATCTGTTGAGGAGATGGCTTTTAGTAGGTACAGATTCTCTGCATCATAACCATACCCCCTACCTAGTCACTTGCTGTTGCATTGGATGGCATAGATTTGTGCCATAAATGTTAAGACCGAAGGCTTTGGTTTCAATATAGCACAATTTCCAAACATCTAAACAGCAGACACTTCACAGTTTATCTTGTCACCACAATTTACTACCTTCTTCAACATAGCATACACGTCAACTACAACCAGTTTCCTGTCTCCCTTGAAAATATAAAATAGTTCCTTTATATTAGAGCATCATTTCGGGTATCATAAACAAGCTCTTCCTTTCTGCCTAGGAGAGAAAACAATACATTTAATTTAAACTTTCCCAATATCTTCCAAAGTTGTTAGGAGTGCATATTCTTCCCAAGTAAGAATCATCCATGAATAACTTTGATGCCACAAAATGTACCTTATCAAAATATCCAAGAGAATGGAGACAGAAGAGAATCGGACAACAAAAATTACATCCATCTATCATTTAATTAAAAGTTCTTTCTTTTGTGAATGGTCAGCAGAAAATAGTACAAGGTGTATGACACACAGAAGACGTTTCTAATATTGACTGTGTTTTCCTCCATTTCAACAGCAAGAAAAGACAACAATTTCCAAAGAAATAATCTGTCCCAAGAATGACATATCTTGGCCTAAAATTTAGAGCAACACCCTCTCCATTAGAAAAAAAAAAAAGTTTTATTCCTTTTCCTAACTTATTTTCTTAGGAAAAGTTCCACTATCATCATGGTTCTGAAAGGGCCTAGAGAAACCTGCTTTTTAATAGCTATAAATTAAAGGCAAAATCCTGAATTCACTGAACTTGGCCACTAAGCCTGTAAGGGTACAAACTTAGTACTACTGGTCATCCATTCCCTTGGCTTTTACCTGTGTAAGATGGGGAGGAAATTCTGCATGTTGCGAGATCAGTTCTTGGTACTCTAATGCTACTCTTAATTACCCCCAATCGTAAAAAAGAGCAATAACATTATGTACATCAAGAATCAGTAGATGTTCTACACTTTTTGGCAAGAAACACTTATTGAAATTAGGCTTCAAAGTGGTGCTTTCTGAGCTTCTCAGGCCAAAGGAGGAATTTAGCAGCATAGACAGGATATAAATACTGAAGTTACACGCTGAAGAGTGATTACTTTATGGATAAGGACCTACCGTTCCAATTAAATCCCTTGAAGATGACAGTGACCAACTGCTCTTACATTACAAAAAATTCTCAAGAAATTCAAATGTTTCAAGACAAATATCATGTAATAATACACTCCCTTCAGTGAAACCAAATATACTACTTTTTCATACTAGCATTAAAAAGCGTTTGCCCTCTTGCCAGCAGTATAGAAATAGTATCTGTTAAGATAAACAGTAACATAAACCATCAGCTCTTCATGTGGTGCATTTGTTTACCAAAGACCAAAATTACTTGCCAATGAAGCAGGGGGAGTGGGGGTGGGCGTATCTCGAATCTGAAGAGATCATAGGGAAACACTGTTACAGAAACATGTGATGGATAAAATATGAGAACTGCCATTCCAGCTCATTCGTGGAAGACCGTGGAACACCACATCTTGTTTCTAACGAGGACCAGGAGCCTCAGAAAAAGCGAGAATAATTTCATAACAGGTAGGTATGGGATAACCTTCTGCAAACCCAAGTCTCAACCTAACACTTAGCAGCTGGAGCTTGTGCACCTTAAAACATGAACATTTTTGTGCTTTCTAGAACCTTGGAATTACCCTAATTTGCCTCAATAACTTGGGGAAAAAAAAATCTTACGAATATAGGAATTCATCTCTGAAACTTGGCAGGTTCTCAAACTCGATTAATTAATTTTGATATAGAAGAGCAGTGTAGTTTGGGGGTTGGGTTTTTTTGGGGGGGTGTTGGTTTTTTGTTTGTTTTAATATTTCATAACATGCAGAACTAATTTTGATGAGGGCAATAATAGAAAAAGTGATACTGCTTACGTCAAAACTTTAACTTTGCAACTTCTGGAAAAAACACATTGGAAAACAGGGAGCTAGAGCGTTTCTAGAGGAAAGTAAAATTCCTCTTGCAGCTTACAGGAAACAAATGTATTGTCATAAAAATGAATTAGCAATACTAACTCCTGGTTACTAGTAGCAGTTGATAAATGTATACTTTCCAGGGCAATAATCATGGACAAACACAACAAATTTTAGTGTCCAGCCAAAATATTCTCCAGGTGGTTTTGCTACAAATAGTCATTTCCACATTGAGACAAGCAAGCACAATCCAAGCACATGTTAGGCTTCTCAAAGACAACAAAATGCACTTATTACAGGAAATGGTAATATTTTAAAAATACATCTAACTTAGAAATCCAGATCCCATTTCCAAGCAACCGCAAGCACTTCAAGTGTAAGTTTCATGGAAAGTCAAAGGACTTGTGTTTCCAAGTACCACTTTATTATGTGACATTATTATTGTTATTGATATTATACACATTCCCCTCTGCTCTTTCCCTTGGTTTTGTTTCAAAATTCCCACTGTATGTCTCCTTTTCCCTGAGAATACACACAAAGAATGAAATCAGGATATCAAAACAGCTAACTAAGAAACAGTAGGTAAGTGCTTCTTTTAAAACCATGCATGGAATATAGAATTTAATACCTTCTCCCCTTCCAAAGCCCTGAATTTCTCCATTAAATAGGATTTATTTTAAGCTTTTTTCCATAAAAAGAAATTAACAGATTTTTTCTTTTTTGAAATGCAAACAAAAGCATCTGGGATGAAAACGAAGGACTAAATCAAGAGAATGGAAAGGTTACTGGAAATGCTAACAGACCTACTGAGTGAAGACAAAGCCTACTGCAAATTATGCCAGATTTTGCAAGCTGCCATCATTACCAGAATTGGTGTAAATTCTAGCCCTATTCTAGTAGCTACGTACTTAAAATACATGTCACTTAAGAACACAAGATAATAACGTACAATTATTAACAATATAGCAAAAAATAACCTATTGAATGTATTACATTTAATATACCTCCTCTGGCTACAAAACAGGAATTTCGAATAGTCTGTGATTTGTTTCAAGTGAATACAGAGGCCAGGAGTGATGACGGAATGGTGAATCCTACATCGCAAGATCAAACTAGAGTTAAGAAGTCTTGAACGTTTTAGAAAACATAATGCAAGAGACATGCATGAAATAGTTCTTTCAGTAAGCAGGGATATTTGTTTAAAAAAAAGCACCCACAGGTAGCAAGCAGTAAAAGGAGAAATACAAACATCTTGGTAGAATAGGATCATGTCTTACACATCCTTACATCCATGCATTTCAGGAGGGAAAAAAAAAAGAGCTAGTTTTAAAGCAAACAGCTAACTGAAGGTAGCAGTTATAATTTTTCTCCCCAATGCTAACAAAAGACCATACCAATCTACTTTTAGATGCTAACTTTGAAATTTTACTTTCTCATTAAAACCAACCATGCAGAAGGAAAGAAGCAAGAGCACTTCAAAGCAACAGGTAGCACAACGGAGGGCTGCCATGATAGCAAGGACCGCAACCCTCACCAACACTTTGCTTTTGCTTTGGCTTCTGTTGCAGGCTATTTTGGCTACCCTGGGAAGCTGCACTGTTTCCTCTCAGGAAAACAGAGTAAAGGATGCTTTCTCCTGTGGTCAGCTTTGCTTCTTTACATTGCAGAAACACATACAGGTGTTTTTTTAATTTTGTTTTTCCCTTTTCAAGTCTTTGTACTTCTCGAGCAGCCTCCGAGTTCTCCACTAGTAAAATAATACCTGCAATGAAACCCATGCTGACTAAAAAAACAAGACAAAACCGGAAACTGCCCCATCCTTACCTACTTCAGTCCCGTTCTGTAAGCTTTAAGATACTATTTCAAGGCTTTATCCATCTCTTTCTACTCGACATTTGCACAGATGTCAGTAACTGCACAACATGCCAAGGTAAGGCACGTGTCCATGGGGATGCTTGCATGCTCTGCCACTGACTGCTGCGATGTGCTAATACTATTTCACATTTGCAGCACAACAGTGGTACCAGAATTACATGCCAGCTCTTCACAGTCTGAATATCTTGAAAT